CAATCTACAGGTATGTTGACTCAAGTGACAAACACTAGTGAGTTTCCTCGGATGACATTGTCAATAGGTTTGATGATGCCAAAGTTCCTATTTTGATACGGGTGTATCTTCTCTCTTCGGGAACTTAGTGATCCTCATGGGAATTTGAGGATAAATGATTCTCATGGTAGCATGAGAATACAAGCGTGGACGGAGTCGTTGATAACGGTAAAAAGGTCGAAAGTAGGAGAAACGGCGAAAATCAGGAAGCTGGCGAAACAGCTCTGGCTAGTCGATCGAATAATCAGCACCACTCGACCAAAAACTTGCACGACCAAGGTCCAGAAACATGTATTCTGGACGGTCGACCGACGCACTATGATCGGTCGACCGATGAGCCTAGATCGGTCGACCGATTAATGTATGTCGGTCGACCGACTGGGGTTTCCTGGGCTGATCTGGATTCCTGTTTTGCACGAATCCTAATTGGGTTTGTCTTGGTTATTTACCACTTTGTCATCCACATTATTTAACCTATAAATAGGGATTGTTTAGGGTTTCTAAACATAAGAAAAAAGTTTAGTGAGGATAGAGAAGTTGTTCTTTATTCTAGAGAGATTAAGAGAGAGGTTTTGTAATCTTTTATTCTTTATAATCTAGAAAAAGTATTTTCATTCGCCAAATTGAATTGTTCTTGTGTTTGTTGTTTTCTTCTCAAAATCCATGTTTGATAATTCTGCGATCAAATGTGCTCGCATGGCCACTCGTATCATTTTTTGAATAGACAATCTAGTTGTTGGGCCTTCTAACACCACAAGGGCAGAGATAAGGTTGCAAAACTATGCCTCATTCTGATAACCTTTGATAAGGAAAATTGAACCTAGAAATGAGGCAAATGAAAAATAGAGAAGCTAGAGACATGTACAATCCAGTGTACCTAAGATGGATGGAATTGATGAGCATATCAAGAGGAAGTTACCTAAGGGTAGTGAACTCCTGAAAACAGACAGATAACAATGAATACTTTAAATGATGACCACTAGTCTTACCAAACAATGAGAAAAGGCATAGCTATTAATTTCTAGTAAACGTTGACCATTTAATTATTAGATCCTAATTACAAGTGTGTAAAATGTGTTTCTATGCCTATGATTATAGCCTTATTTCTATATTACCTCAAAAACTTGAATGCCACTAA